CATAGGAACCTGATAGTTTTCCACTAGTTGTCGAACCTTTTCCCATAGGAATCTGATGGTTTTTGCGTGGTTTCCTCACGTTCCCTCATAGGAATCTGATGGTTTACCATAGGTTTTCTCATCTTTTCTCATAGTAACCTGATGGTTTATCATAGGTTTTCTCATCTTTTCTCATAGGAATCTGATGGTTTATCATAGGTTTTCTCATCTTTTCTCATAGGAATCTGATGGTTTATCATAGGTTTTCTCATCTTTTCTCATAGGAATCTGATGGTATTACATATGTTTCCTCATCTTTTCTCATGGGAATCTGATGGTTTACCATAGGTTTTCTCATCTTTTCTCATAGTAACCTGATGGTTTATCATAGGTTTTCTCATCTTTTCTCATAGGAATCTGATGGTTTATCATAGGTTTTCTCATCTTTTCTCATAGGAATCTGATGGTTTATCATAGGTTTTCTCCTCTTTTCTCATAGGAATCTGATGGTTTATCATAGGTTTTCTCATCTTTTCTCATAGGAATCTGATGGTTTATCATAGGTTTTCTCATCTTTTCTCATAGGAATCTCATGGTTTACCATAGGTTTTCTCATCTTTTCTCATAGGAATCTGATGGTTTATCATAGATTTTCTCATCTTTTCTCATAGGAATCTGATGTTTTATCATAAGTTTTCTCATCTTTTCTTATAGGAATCTGATGGTTTATCATTGGTTTTCCAATCTTTTCCCATAGGAATCTTATAATAATCGTTTATGGATGAATGAATGGTCACATTATTTGGGGGGTTCGGTTTTTGGACCTCCTCACTGGACCTTGTTGACCTAGTTGACCTATAGGGGGGGGGGGGGGGGGGGGGGGTTTATTAATCCGGTGTCAACATTATAGATAAATATTTATATATAGATATAATAATATGTCTGAATGAATCCTGTGTAAATCATGGTGGCCCCCTAAAAAAGGACAACGCGCCAAGTTCTCCAAGCTTTGGCTCTTGGGGATCTTGGGACCATTTCGGACCTGCGGCAGCGAGGTTAATGGCTCTGACGACTCTGATGTCAGGCATGTTCTGGGGCATGACTCGTGCTGTGGTCCAGACTACTATGCATTTCCAGTCCCTCGATTGGAATGTGGCATGGGGCCCGGCGGTCTGGGAAGTCTGGTACCTTGGTCACCTGGGAAAAAAGCGCTATGCTTGGTGGATCCACTTTTTTTTTGTTTTGAAGGCCTCATGATTGACTTTTCTAGCCATGGGGAAGACACGCATTTCTATATCGAAACGGATGGGGATTTGTTTCAGATCGCCGCACATGGAGACTCCTTGTATCTCATGAATCTTGTCACAGACCGATACACCATGAATGTTCTCATCACAACATTATTTTTTGAGGAGGGTTTTCATTTTTTCCAGTTCAGCTCTTAAAATTCACCGAGCTGGGCTTTCCAGCTCATCCGCAGATCCGCATACACACAGGAATTCAGCTGGCCTTGGTTCAGCTGGAAAGCATCCAAAACTTGGGAATATTCCCAAGATGAGAGCTGCCACAATCATGGGAAAACCATGGAAAACCATGGTTTACTTAGTTTACTTAGCTGATGATTCATGGCTTCGTGGTTGGCTTACCCTCCGGTCATCAAACATGGGCCGGAGAATCCACCAGAAGTCTCACCTGACTGGGGCTAAGACGTTGGACGGATAACCGGATCTGGGGAAGCCCCGATTTTGAGCCCAATTCATGCAGAAGCCTTGATTTATTTGGGCAAAATATGGCAAAATGATGGCACATGGACACATTTTGTGGCCATGGGGCACATATGGTACCCAGTTGAGAAATTTCACCTCCTCGAGGATTGTGGCCATTCTCTTCTGCTCGATGATGGGTGCAACAGACTCTTGACCTTTGTCATGGCTTGGGGGCAAGGGCTCAAGCACCATGTTTTTTTGGGCTCAAGCCCAACATGCCTTACACGTGCAGATAGAAACTTGAGCAATGCAATGTTCTGGCGGTCCAACATGTTTTGGAGTCGAATAAGAGTAAGTCCAGCAATAAGTCCCTAAGGAAGTCAGTTCGCTGCATGAAAATTGCACTGTCCATCTAGAATTTTTTCGATCTTTGAAACCCTTTCTTTGTGCCAGATTCTATGCCCAAAAAGATAGAAACTTAGATCCCCATTGAACAGTGAAGTCCTCCTTCTTCATCTCGAGACCCCTAGAGCTTTGGCTCTGAGGTGGCCTCAAAGGTGTTGACGCAAAGGGGTCCAAAGCTGTTGATCCTATGCTTGGCACCTTGGTTTTGTGCGGATTTGTGCCCAGAATGGCTGGGCAAATCAGGGTTTAGCATGGTAGAATCGCAAACCCCGATAGTTGCTACGTAAATCTTGATGTTCCCGGTATGTTTTGGGTTAAGATTTTCCCTTGGACATCCTTTAACAAATTAAGTGAAAGCCATGGCCATGGCAATGAGAGGATTTATATTGTGCGATGGTCAAAAGTCGAATTGTTTTCCCATTGAAAGGAATGGTCATCAATCTAGTACTGGGGGTTAAGTGAATGTACCGATAAAGAAGCCACATAACTCATATGTGTTGTCCATGGCGCATATGATGGAAGTTGAGATAATGGTGGTATAATGAAATTATGATGGGAATAGAATTTTAGGACAAATTATCTTGGCATGTTAAGTAAGGTGTAGCCATGAGGGTTGCCACTAAACAACTGGGGATGTTTGTATCTGGAGATGGGTAAAAACCTATGATTTTCCATATGAGGAGATGAACATACACAAAACAACCAGCAAATTTGATTCGAACAGCAGTGGATTTTTGATGTTTTTTTTCCATAACCACACGGGTATGGTGATCTAACATCAATTACCAGTGGAGCCATAAGAGCTTTTTCCAATTTTGGGATCGCCATCCCCAAAGATTTGGGAATACTGTAGAAGCGACAAGTATCTGGGGTGAATGTGAAGTCAAATGACCTGACAACGACCAAGCCGCACAAATTATGGGCTGTATGGATAGCCTGAGCCTGGTGGAGTCGTGGAGGTTGATGATTCAGCTGACCAGTGGATCACAGACTGAACTTGCTTTGGGCTGCCCGTGGTTCTTCAAGAGCTGAAATCCAATTTCGAAAGTTTTGGTGTGACATTTACATTGGATGAATCCTGGATGAGTCCACATTTAGAGGCGTTTTCCAGATTACTAGTGGATTTGGCTTTTCAATGTCAAATCCCAAATCGTGTCGTAAACTGATAATTAACGCCTGGGGGATGGTGTAACCCACCCGTTTCTGGTCAAATTGAGGCGCCTGGTTGGGCCGTCGGTGCGGCATGCAATGCATCTTGTCGCAAAAGGTTGGAGCGCGAGGTGGCGCCCGTTTGATCGGCAAAATCATGTGGCAACTCCAGTGATTCTTCAACCTGTTGAAGGTTTTATCAGTAACAAAAAAAACATATGATTTAAAGGTGGATGATTTCAACCTGGATTTTTCGAGGTTTATGAAAGGCTCACATCATGAAATGGGATCTGGTCCATACTTGGGTTTCCCACATTGCTTGGAAGATCATATCGGGATTCACTGTGTACCAGACAACGTAGTCTATAGTGTTTGAACACCCAAATCCTCTGGCTCATGTTTTGGGGTAGTCGAGAATTCTGTGCTAACTCTGTGGCACATCCTCAAGCTGAGAAGAGTGTCATGGTATTGATTTGAAACCTGCAAACTAAAATGAAAGTATGCCAGACCATAGGATTATGACTCATCAATACTTGCAGCGGTCCGAAGCTCGAATCTACTTAGTCTACACGCTACAGAGGAAAGCTGTGCGCAGATCCGTTTGCGCGCCATTGGGGCCTGTGCAAGCCCGTGCGCAAAGGTTTCAGACTATGAGGAGTGCCGGAAGTTTCACCAAAAGGACTGCGAAGCCTTTAAAGCTTGTAAGAGGAGATGTTATACCATCCTTGAAGTAAAAGAAGCTGGATTGCTTGCAGCGAAAGTAGCTGCAAAACACACCTTTGAGGATGTGCAAAGAGTTGACCTGGATCACGCTGAGGCAGCCCTCGCAGCATGGGAGGCAAAACAGGCTCTTGATAGGTGCGTCGAACAGTGTGAGCGCAGGCATTCAGGCTGGCGGGAGACCAGAAGATGCTGGGAGGATCTGTCGTGGTCCGAAAGAGCCAAGGCAAGGTAATGAAGTGCCTGACTGGTGTAAGAGGTGAAGCCAGTGGCAGAAATCTGAACCCTCCATGCGTACATGAAAAACTGCACCTAGCAGCAAAGCCGTGACCACATCGGACCGCCAATCTGAAAAGGAAAAGATGTTGCATGCGCAGACCATGGATGAAGGGCGCTCTTCATGTTTGATGTTCGTTGTTTATGGTGAAGATACGCTTGTCACAGGAAAAATATCAAAGGCTTACTTAACCACGGACGACAATGAGCGTCCGGAAGTCAGTAAGTAGCAACGCTTTGATCATTCTCCAACAGTCATTCGGCTTCTGATATTGACTTTTGGCTGCTCATCACAGCACCAAATGTATCAGGTGATGATCAAGTACTAGCAATCGACCATAAGAATTACTCTAGTCATCTCTAGCCTGTGCTTTTTCTATTGGGGTTAGTTTTCCCCATCTTTCTTATTTGAACTCTTACCCCACAAATTGGTCTGCCGACCTATGATGACTTTTACGATGAAAGTATGCTGTCATGATCTTGTATGATGAACCTTCTGTTGAAGAGTTCTGCTAGACTGTGATGGAACAGTTTTACGATGAAGCGATGTGGTTGATTGTGATTGTGATGGTGATGGTTCTGTATGATTTTATGTGATAGGTTTGTATATGTTTGTATTGTAGATGGCTAACGGAGTTTAAATTCAATTTGAACACTGTCTGCCAACACAATTTTGATGCTTCCCTAGTTCCCTAGTTCCCTCCTAACTGTGACAGCTGGACTTACTGTGACCTATGGAGCATCATGTCCCCATGATGAAACACAATGGATCCTGTGGCAGCTGAGGTTTTGGTGAGTCGCTTAGTTCTGCGCGAGTTGGATCGCGTCATTTTAGGTTCCACAGGAGACAGAATTTCAGCTGACTAGCCACTGTGATGGCTTTAGTATCTGTTTTTTTTTGAGAAAATTCCGTTCCATCCATTGGTTAATCATCATCATCCCCATGAAAAATGGCTGTTTGTGGAGCTTTGTGGAGGTAGAACTCAGTTTGACCCACAGCCTTATAATATAACCTGGAGAAATCGGTTTCCAAACCGCAAACCTGATGGTGTATCAGTTGCATCCAGTTACATTTTCTGACATTTTTTTTGTGGTGTTGCTATTTGTTCAGTGTTACCAGCGTACCAGCTGTGGTGGCTTAACATCCCCTGATTTGTGGATGTTGATGATTTTGATGAGCCCGCATCGGGGAAGATCACAAAATTTATCTATTTCTTTTCAGATAAAACTGATCGTCTTTGAGTGTGTTTCTGAGTTTCACCTGAATTGTCTCCAGGATGGTCCCCAGGATGGACCCGGGTTATATAATTGGCTCCCCATCCGTCTGCGCAGCGCAGGATTATCGATGCTCCTGTTGTGCATCTTTTCAATGGATGCAGGCCATTGCCAATGGCATGGCTGGCGGTTGAGAAACATCCCTTAATCATCCAGTGGCATCGTTGATCTGATCGCATTGCTTAACCATGGGGCATGACCTACCCTCTGGTAAACTAACGACATAGCTATGGAAAATCATTGTTTTTAATGGGAAAATCCATTACAAATGGCAATTTTCAATAGCTATGTTAAATTACCAGAGGGTAGAACTTCTGCCTTTCCATCGCAATGTTTCGCGGGGATACTAATGGAAGAGTTCGGCTTGTCTTCTGCTGGTTTATTGTGGTAAATCCAATCATCAACCATCCCATTAATCAAGCGTCATTTTACATCCTCCCAGTCATAGGGGTATACATGAATCAGAAATCATCATTATTAGTCAGACATGCAATTTAAATCACCGTCCCCAAATAGGGTTTACTGATTTCTGATGAATGGGGATGGTGATTTAAAATTGTGGCTTTTAGCCAATCACCATCCCCAATTAGGGTAATTACAAATTTAAATCATCACTCAGACATGAGACATCAATCAGAAATCATCATTAGTCAGACATGTAATTTAAATCACCATCCCCAAATAGGGTTTACCACATTCATCAGACATCATCCAGCACAAAGAACATCAGGTCGCTATTTGCTTCTCTGTCGGCCCGATGATTTCATGATGCTTGGCGAATCGCCCCCCTCGCGGAGGATTTGAACATGGGGGAATCCCCAAAGTCCACGGTCTCAATGGGAAAATCACTGAACATCCTCCAGAAATGGGGAGTTCCCCAGCTGTTTCCATGTTTCCATGTTTACCAGAGTGCCCTGGAATTGAGCCAAAGATGTTTCGTGATTCTTGATCAAATGTCTAGAAAAAAAAGATGGGTGAATTGGTAGCTCCGAGCAGTCTTTTCTGGGGGAACCATTCCGAGTCTATCCCTACCGAATAACAACTTTCTGGTTGGTGGTGACCATTGGTGGTGTCAAACATTCAAAGTGCATCAAAGTGCTGTTTATGTTCATCCTTCACATTGGCATGATGACGGCGAGGAGCTTGATGATGATCCGATGTGACGATATGAGATGTTTGGAATGGGTGGCTCAACTACCGGCTCTACCGGCTAAGGACATCACTAGCCCATTTCCTCACTTCAATGGATCATCCCAATCTAATTCATAGTCTCAATGTTCTTTTTCCATCTTTTTTCCTAAGGAATGCAATCCTCAATTCAATCATATGCCAAACCGGGAGCGGTTTGTCCATGTTGAAGACAACCAAGAAATCCAGGAATCCTTGGTGGTTGTTTCATGTTGTTTCCCATATCAAAAATGGATAGTTGTTTCCCATATCAAAAATGGATAAAACTGGATAAAAATGGCAAAAAATGGGGTGAATTTGTTCCATTTTCCCTCCATCTAAAGCAGCTTCGCTACCTTCACAGGTCCTGCGCGAAGCGCTGAGGAAAGTGGTGGTGTCGATGAACTCCACACTGATGGTGGTGGTGGGCTGCCCAACTAGCGTTGGAGATTACTGGTACCCTCTGGTAAACTAACATAGCTATTGAAAATTGCCATTTGTAATGGATTTTCCCATTAAACATGGTGATTTTCCATAGTTATGTTAGTTTACCAGAGGGTAGATGTTTCATCATTGGAAGACAACATGAGAAACTGGTTGGTGGTGACTGGAACCATGGAATTTTATGATGTAAATTCCATTCAGTTATGGGAATTTCATACTCCCAACTGTTACTCACTCCATCATTTTTGCAGAGGGGTAGGTATACCACCAACCGGCTAGAAATAACATGAAATAACCCCACTTCCTCTTCAAGTGAAATTAGTTACCATCTGGTTATTTAACATAGCCATGGAAAATCACCATTTTTAATAGCTAAACCATCTATTTCTATGGGCCATCTATACCATGGCTATGTTAAATAACCAGAGGGTAGTTGGATGGAGGACATGCCATTCGAAATTTGGAAGCAACGGCCCAACGGCTTCGATATCTTCGATTCGAAGAAACGCCTGGAATTTCCAGCAACCAGACATAGTCAAGTCCTAGAACATCCCACTATATAAATCACCATGAAGTCACCGGTAAAACCCATTAAACTTCCCATTAAATCCCATGAAAGAACCATTGATTCACCCTAGAATCCTGTGAAATTACCATTGAATCACCATTAAATGATCCATTGAATCACCATTAAATGATCCATTGAATCACCATTAAATGATCATGAAATCACTATGAAATCACACTATCAATTTCCATGGTCAGTATCTCCCACCGGCTAGCCGAGGTCAGTATCCCCTTCTTTGTGCTCTCCTTCTGCTTCATCCACACTGGTGAGGCCGACGTCCGGATGTGACGCGAACCTGGGGGTGATCCTGGGCGTCAAAAACATGAGAAACTGGGGGACGGTGGTGACTGGAACCATGGAGTTTGGATTGACTTTTCCATTCAGTTACCCTCTGGTAAACTAACATAACTATGGAAAATCACCATTTTATAGCTGGGAAAATCCACTATTTCTATGGCCATTTTCAATAGCTATGTTAGTTTACCAGAGGGTATGGGAATTTCATACTCCCAACTGACTTTAACTCCATCATTTTTCAGAGGGGTAGGTTGAAACCACCAACCAGTCATGTGTGTATGTATATGACACATAGAAAGAATGACAATGATGACAATAATGTATATAACATACACACAGTGAGTATGACAATAATAAGAATAATGACATACACATATATAATTATATATATGTACATCCTCCTGCCAATTTCCACTACTAAATGCTATGACCTAGGTCCCGGAAAGTGAACCAAAAATTTAGTGTGAAATTTCCAGAAACCATTTAGTAGAGAATCATGATTTTTCAAAAAAAAATCAAGTAAACATCTCTAGACCCATGATCCACATTTAGTAGTGAGGTAAAAATGATATGTTAATCATATGATGTCAAATGTTGTTTTTGGGGTAAAACCATTTAGTAGAGATGTCAAAAAAATGTTGCAAAATCACAGGAACCATTTAGTAGAGGTTGCGAAGTAGAGTTCATAAAACGGTCACAATGACACGAGACAAAACTGAAAAACCATTTAGTAGAGATTCCCATTCCGTTGCCCCCGATAGTCGTTTGGCCAATCCATGTCCATCAGGATGAATCACGTAAATCTAGATAGTATATGATAATAGATGCTCAAAAAAATAAGAAGCTTGAAAAATAAATATAAATTCTAGAATGCCAATGAATATCAAAGATATTCCTGGGTTGAAGTAAATCAACATGATCGGGTATACCGCGATATGAAACAACAGAAGTTGGACAAAGATAGCATCCTTGCGGTATCTTGCCATGCCGCCTCCAGTCTAGCCAAGTGCTGCCTCTACTAAATGGATGGTCATGGGATCAGTCTATCTAGAACTGTTTCAAACAAAGCCCTGTTGCATCCTTGTGTGCCCTATAATCCCTTACGCGCTATGCAACACCATTTGTAGTCCCAAAATGTCCAAATTCTATCAAGATTTTCCCTGTCTAGCCAAGTGCTGCCTTGCCTTTTTTGGGGGCGATGCCAAATCCCTCGCTTGGGTGTTTCTTGCTCGTCGGGTGCTGCCTTTCGTGTTTGTTGTTTTGTGCATTTTTTGGGGGGCGATGCCAAATCCCTCGCTTGGGTGTTTCTTGCTCGTCGGGTGCTGCCTTTCGTGCTTGGGTTCTTTTGTTGCCTTTTTTGGGGGGCGATGCCAAATCCCTCGCTTGGGTGTTTCTTGCTCGTCGAGTGCTGCCTTTCGTGTTGGGGTTCTTTTTTGGCCTTTTTTGGGGGCGATGCCAAATCCCTCGCTTGGGTGTTTCTTGCTCGTCGGGTGCTTACTAAATGGATGGTCATGGGATCAGTCTATCTAGAATTGTTTGAAACAAAGCCCTGTTGCATCCGTGTGTGCCCTATTATCCCTTACGTGCTATGCAACACCATTTTGTAGTCCCAAAATGTCCAAATTCTATCAAGATTTTCCCTGTCTAGCCAAGTGCTGCCTTGCCTTTTTTGGGGGCGATGCCAAATCCATCGCTTGGGTGTTTCTTGCTCGTCGGGTGCTGCCTTTCGTGTTTGTTTTTTTTGCGTTTTTTGGGGGGCGATGCCAAATCCCTCGCTTGGGTGTTTCTTGCTCGTCGGGTGCTGCCTTTCGTGCTTGGGTTCTTTTGTTGCCTTTTTTGGGGGGCGATGCCAAATCCCTCGCTTGGGTGTTTCTTGCTCGTCGGGTGCTGCCTTTCGTGTTGGGGTTCTTTTTTGGGGGCGATGCCAAATCCCTCGCTTGGGTGTTTCTTGCTCGTCGGGTGCTTACTAAATGGATGGTCATGGGATCAGTCTATCTAGAATTGTTTGAAACAAAGCCCTGTTGCATCCTTGTGTGCCCCATTATCCCTTACGTGCTATGGAACACCATTTTGTAGTCCCAAAATGTCCAAAATCTGTCAAGATTTCCCCTGTCTAGCCAAGTGCTGCCTTGCCTTTTTTGGGGGCGGATGCCAAATCCCTCGCTTGGGTGTTTCTTGCTCGTCGGGTGCTGCCTTTCGTGTTGGGGTTCTTTTTTGGCCTTTTTTGGGGGCGGCCAAATCCCTCGCTTGGGTGTTTCTTGCTCGTCGGGTGCTTACTAAATGGATGGTCATGGGATCAGTCTATCTAGAATTGTTTGTTTCCCTGTTGCATCCTTGTGTGCCCTATTATCCCTTACGTGCTATGGAACACCATTCTGTAGTCCCAAAATGTCCAAATTCTATCAAGATTTCCCGCCTTTTTTGGGGGCGATGCCAAATCCCTCGCTTGGGTGTTTCTTGCTCGTCGGGTGCTGCCTTTCGTGTTTGGGTTCTTTTTTTGCCTTTTTTGGGGGCGATGCCAAATCCCTCGCTTGGGTGTTTCTTGCTCGTCGGGTGCTTACTAAATGGATGGTCATGGGATCAGTCTATCTAGAACTGTTTCAAACAAAGCCCTGTTGCATCCTTGTGTGCCCTATTATCCCTTACGTGCTATGGAACACCATTTTGTAGTCCCAAAATGTCCAAATTCTATCAAGATTTTCCCTGTCTAGCCAAGTGCTGCCTTGCCTTTTTTTGGGGGCGATGCAAAATCCCTCGCTTGGGTGTTTCTTGCTCGTCGGGTGCTGCCTTTCGTGCTTGGGTTCTTTTGTTGCCTTTTTTGGGGGCGATGCCAAATCCCTCGCTTGGGTGTTTCTTGCTCGTCGGGTGCTGCCTTTCGTGCTTGGGTTCTTTTGTTGCCTTTTTGGGGGCGATGCCAAATCTAAATGGATGGTCATGGGATCAGCCATATGTGTTTCATGTTTTTTTCTCTACTAAATGGGCCCCGTGTATTTCTCTACTAAATGGTTTTGGGGTTTTGGTCGAGTGATGTTGGTCCCGCAACTTGTGCTCAAATGAGTACCTCTACTAAATGGAACAGGGTGTTTGGTCGAGTCATGTTGGCGTCTTAAGACACTCTGAAAATATATCCAAATTTTGCGCTTCAGCTGAACCAGGGGCCCACATTTAGTAGTGAAATTCGATCATGCATGCACATCCATTTAGTAGAGCTTGAGGCTATGCAGGCCGTTTCTTCACTACAAAATGGTTGCACAGCCCCAACCCTTAATTGACAGGGGGTTATATGTACTGTATAGAAACTATATAGTTTCATATCGATACATGCATCTATAAACATGGTCCAATGATGTCCAATGCCCTTTTCAATGGGTTGGTTGTTCCGGGAACATCTTAACCGGATACCGGTTGGTTGTTTTTTTCCCAGATGCTGGAGATGTCGGGTCATTTTTCCGCCATCGACTGATTTAAGGATGAGTGTTGACCCAAAAAGGATGGATTGATATGGATTGATATGGATTGATAATGGATTGATATTGATATGGATATGGATTGATATGGATTGATATGGGTTGATATGGATATGGATATGGATTGATATGGGTTGATATTGATATGGATATGGATTGATATGGATTAATGCTAGACTATATATTATCTATATATCTATTAATATGTATTGGCCAACGATTTATATATTGGTGACGCATTGGCCAGCAAAATTGATCCGGCGCCAGGCAGTGATCGAGGATGAGCAGGAATCTGAGGTGGACGGTCGTTGACTCACCCAAGGTTTGTCACTGTTGGTTAGTTGGCGTTTCCACGTTTGGGTTGGAATGACATTCGCCTATTTAAGCATGATATGAGCTGTATCACTGTATGATTTACCCTCTGGTTATTTGACATAGTGACATAGCCATGGTATAGATGGCCCATAGAAATAGATGGTTTAGCTATTAATAGCATGGTGATTTTCCATGGCTATGTTAGTCATAACCAGATGGTATGGGATATTTTTATGGCATTTATGGATATTCTGGTTCATGGTTCATGGATGTTCCGAGTTGGTGTGATTCCTTCGTGGCCAGGGGTCAAACCCTACCCCCCGTGAACCCCACATATTTGGCCCAGAGGGTAGCCATCCATATTTGCTGATGCATCCCAGGATATCCCAGGTATATCAAAAAACACTAAATCAGCTTCACGAAACCTGACATTTTCCCAGATTTTCCATAGATTTCCATAGATGTTCCATGGATTTTCCATGGTTCCTCGAGTCGATTTTCGCAAAAATTGATCCCAGCAGGTGCCCAGCCAGGTGAGGGAGGACCACCAGCAGGTGCTTGGGGGACCTGGATGGTTCGGAACATGGAAATCCCATGGGGTGAAAGTTTACTGGAATTACCCCTCCGGTAAACTCTCCGGTAAACAAACATTCACAGTTTGCGAACTTGAACATGGCCATTTTATAGTTGATTTACCTACTAAAAGTGGTGATTTCCCATAGTTATGTAAACGTTTAACAGAGGGTATATATCTGGATTATCATGGGTTCCAGAATTATATATCCATGTTGGAACATAATTAGGATTTAATTCCATGAACATGTTGGAACTTCCATGAAATTCCAGAATGATATATCTGGATGTTTTGCAGAGATGTCAAAATCGAAGATTTTTAGCATGGGATCCACATCAAAGATTTCCCCACAATCTAAATCTTCGAAATGGGACATCAGCATCCGGATGGACTGGATGGACTGGATGGGATTCCGCTTGTGGCAGATGGTTTTGGAAACTGCAGGGTGAATTTGTCAGAAATCTGTTTTTTTTTCCATCCGAATCTGTCAGAACAAGTCCGAAAACCATCGAAAGTTGGGATTGAACGTTTGATTGAACGTTGGACATCTCTTAAATAGTTGAATTATTTTGGAACTTGTATTAACCATCATGCTTGTCCATCGAAACGTGGCGGAAGATGCAGACGTGATGCAGAGAGGTTGCGGGTGTCCTGTGATCAACGCGCAGCCACAGATTGAGTGATCATTTCTTGTACCACGCGTCCATCCATCTGGAATGATGGTTAGTAGGGGTATATGACTATGCCGGAATTTCCTTGTAATACCCTCTGGTAAACTGTCACATAACTATGGAAAATCACCATTTTTAATGGGAAAATCCACTATAAATGGCCATTTTCAATAGCTATGTTAAATTACCAGAGGGTAATTCAATTGTGAATTGCTATAATTTACCCAGATCTTGGGATTTCTGAATTTGGGGGATCCCCAAGTCACCATGGGCTTCAATACTAAGTCATGGTCTAATGACTTGGATGATTTGGGGTATGTAACCCCCCCAATTTGGGAAACCTTCATCTATCTTTACTGGAGAGGGTGATCCTTGGTTGAATCCCCAACTGTCATGGTCGAACAGGTAGTCCTGCAGAATGAAGGCTTCGATGAATTCCAATAGTCGCGGAGTAGATAGAACATGATAGAATCCCAAATTACCCAAAGAATCTTACCAGCCATATGAGCCATGGACCATTGTCAATAAACAGTGGCGTTTCCCAATTAAATCAACACACACACAATCACATACATACATACATTCATAAGTTTTAGCCAACAAAGATGCAGATTCAACCGATATTATCTTAAACCAGCCAAACTTATTGTGTTAGGATGGGTACTTCAGCCCATGGGTCCACATTTTGCGGGGATGAACCACTCCCAGTGGCGGAATCCCACCACTCCGACCTTCGAAATCACCAAGGTATGTCGAAGAATGGGGGAGATACCCGCAACTGGCAACCGAATAATGTGGAAACTTGTGATAAACTCTGAGATATACAGATGTTTTTACCCAATATTCTCCGACAAACCTATGTGATCAGTGTTAAAACAGGTGGTTGATGATTACCAATCATCATTCACTCATGACTCATGAACTGAGAATCCCTCTACTGTATTATTCACATTTATTCACCAATTGTAAATTAGGCTTGCCTTCAATCCAACGATTTTCTATGGAAAAAGGCCATCTATGCTAATAGTCACGAAAGAAATTACTGCAGGGTATATCCCATATTATATATAAATATATATATATATATATATATATTATCATTATTGTATCCCACTATTCTTATGATTTTATACACCCAATATGTTTGCCGGATACATCACCATTTGATTAGCATTTGTTCACCATTGGCTGCTTAAATCCCCATGAATCAACCCATGGTCCATGAATATCGCATGAATATCCCATTGATGGAAACCATCTATGGAAACCTCCGTGATTCTGGTTGCTGGTTTGGAACATTTTTTTAAATATTTTCCCCATCATATTGGGAATGGAATGTCATCATCCCAACTGACGAACTAACTCCATCATTTTTCAGAGGGGTAGGTCAATCACCAACCAGTTATTAACCATCATTAATCATCATTAACCATCATTAAATCACCATTAAACACCATTAATGGGAATTTCATGGGATTTGATGGGAATATCTTCCCAAGATGGGTAGGTTTCTCCCACCAACCAGATAGATACTTTCTAACCATTAACCATAGATAATCATCAACCATTAACCATAGATAATCATTAACCAACCAGATATCAATCAATGATACCCTCTGGTGAACTAACATAGCAATGGAAAATCACCATTTTTCATGGGAAAATCCACTATTTCAATGGCCATTTTCCATTGCTATGTTAGTTCACCAGAGGGTAAATGAAGCTCGAATCCCAGGAGATCTTCCCCGCCTTTCCCCGAGAGCCGGGTCCCCCGCTGCCGGCGCTGCCCGCGCTGCCCGCGCTGCCCGCGCCCGCGCAAACGGTCCCGGGGCGCACAGCGTGAAACTGCGGACTTCATGGGAAAAGGATGGGAAAATGATGGTGAACTATGGCAGCAACTATGGTTTAATTCATTATAGTACTGATATTAAGGGTTTCAGAGCAATAAGCTTAGGGAGATGATTGGCTCAGGATTGGGATTATTACGTGGTTCGATGGGTCTGAGATGGTTTGGGGAAATGAGAGTGACCATGGGACTCACAACGAACTCAAACATCCTCAAACGAGATGATGGTACGTAGGGGGCATCAGCCCACAAATCGTTTCTGTTTTTCAATTTAAGGATTTCTTGTTGTAACTTGTCAAGATACATAGGAATAGTGAGAAGATGGGTGTTTACCAACTGGTGAAGGCATGTGAAGGGTGTTTCAGAATGGTTTCATAGTACTCATACTTTTTCCATTCTTTTCTCATTTTGATGGCATTAAAAAAACACACATATATATAATTATATACCCGTAATATACCCTTTGGTTATTTAACATAGCCATGGAACATGGTCCATTTAGTTCGATGGTTTACCGAACTTAAAAGCATGGTGGTTTTCTATAGCAAACTGTAAGTTTACCAGAAAGTAGATGACCTTTACCTCATAGTTTCCAGGCTTCCGAAAAATTAATATAATATAATATAATATATATATACATACATTGTCTTGCAGGGTATGAGAGCTCCACCAGGATGATTTTTTGAACCGTCCTGATGCCTAGGCTGAAACTCCATCTGAAGTGGCACCTTGACTCATCCGGTGGTCGTGGTATGGCTCATGCTACGGGAAGGGTAGGTTACTCAATGCAACACGGATGGAACAGGATGGAAGTGCCATTTCCCCTTTCAGTTCCTGCACAGTTTTCGAGTTGAAATCTTGTCTATTTGCGTGGTCAGTTCCAGGGTAGATGCATGTTTCGCCAAAACCAATCTCTCAAGCGCGGCTTGAGAAACACCCATCTTACAGGGCTCAATAATGGGACGGCACCTTTCTTTGTTTGGCCGATCACGATGATTTTTCCCGTTTTCTTTTGGGATATTCAATGATTGACACATTCAGTCAAGCTGGTACTCTAAGCTGGCAGCTCACCTATACTGGTTGGTGGTTTGGAACATGAATTTTATGACTTTCCCATCATATTTGGAAGAACCATCCCAACTGACTTTAACTCCATCATTTTTCAGAGGGGTAGGTCAACCAACCACCAGATAGATACTTTCTAACCATTAACCATAGATAATCATCAACCATTAACCATAGATAATCATTCACCAACCAGCTATAGGTTTCTCCCATGTTTTCGGAGCAGTTTCAACCAGACCTCAGGTTCCCATCCAGGATCCCATGTCGTACAGCGTATAGATTTCAAGCCGCAGAGCTGCGTTAGACTGGTGTGGCGAGCTTTAAAATCCCAAAGAAAAAGTGGGATTCACTGAGGAAGGACATGTTTTTTTTTCCAACAAGACTTGGTGCGTTGTAAGTTAAAGGGATTTTGCAAAACCGCTGACGCTGCTGTTTCGGGGGATGAAGGTCCATAGAAAATTCAGCTGTTTTTCAAGGCGGCTTTTTTCGCAGGGTTTTGACCCATTGCCATCTGCCAAGGGAGCCTTAAAATGAATATAATTAATTAGACTGAAGCAGACTTTGCGAACAGGTAGATGTACTTAGCAGATGATCTACTGAGATGACCGAGATGAGGTTTTCTACCAATGGTAAGACCAATCAACTGCCACAAACATTTGTGCCTCATAGATAGCTAAGTTGGTTTGATTGGTTGGGCTTATGATGCAGCAATTTATGCCTTGGGGGCACCACTTTGGATGGCTGCACCACTTGGAAAAGGGGGTGGAAGAACAAGACTTGGACAGAAGTTACTCTTGCTGAATTTTGCAAAGTGTGAAAGCCTGCAGAGGATTCCAAAACAAAAGATACCCAGCATGTTTTTTTTTTTTAATCTTCCACAAGTTGCGCTTCAAGCGAGATGTGCTATGACAGCTATGAGATATTGGGCTGGATAATATTGTTTATTGGCACAAATATGAGATACTCATGACATATTTATGAGCTATTTAGTGGTTCAATCAAAAACAGTGCGGCATTCAGTTGTGACCCTGGAGAAGTTGGAAAAGTCGCTGCATGTCTCCATTCGTGTCGGTGAAATAGCGAAGCTTCGACTTTTGATTCACCACTTTTGAGTCTGGAAGCAATGCCCATGGTGAAACCATTCATGTCATTTCATGTCAACCCTGGATTAATAAACCCCTAGGCTTTTTTTAATTGGGGGGGTACCATTTAAATATTCGATTATAGCAATTATAGCTATTTAGGGAGTACCGGAGTACCCCCCCCTAATTAATGATCCACGGCTTCTTAGTCAACATGAAATCGATCCCCAAATCTCAGCAGGTATGGCTGCCCCGGTCCAGAATCCCCTGGCTTAGAAATTCGCCCAAATATGAATGGTAAATTATGTTGCGACCTCACTGTTCTCCCGCGCCCTGGAACTATGGATAATAAGGGAAATTATCTCCAAATGGCCGAACCATTCAGGTTAGTGAATTATTATATTTTACCCAGATGGATGTTTATTGTTTTTTCATGGTGATTTCCCTTTATATCCCCTGACATCCGATTGTATCACCTGCCACCATATTTTGTTGGGGACAAAAACCCTGCAGTAAATTAAGATATGGAAAAACAACCACGGTTTTCCACGAAAACACCTCTACATGTCTGATGGGTTTACATGTATCTATAACATATATATATATATATGTATATATATATATAGATAGATATAGAATGAGGTAAACCAATAATAAGCAATCCCCAAGAAAGGTTTATTATTGGGTACACCCCTACTTAGTTATATATATATTTATTATATAGTTATTATATAGTTATTATATAGTTATATATAGTTATATATATCTATATATATATAGTTATATATAGTTATATATATAGTTATATATATAGTTATATATATAGTTATATATAGTTATATATATAGTTATATATATAGTTATATATAGTTATGTATAGTTATGTATAGTTACATATAGTTAATTATATATAGTATATATAATATATATATAGTATATTATTAGCATATGTCATTTTACTGGATCAACGGCCAGGATTTCAACGTAACGTTGGCGCTGAGCCAAAAAGGCGGATAGGACAACATTTGGACGCCATCCGGAGAGGCAACCTGCTCTTTGAGCACAGGTGACCAGCGGCAGATCAGAAATTACAACGAAGCCAAAGAAAGTTGGTGACCAAAATGTGGATATAACAGGATTATATATACATATATATATATATATATTATATGATATGTCCTTATGTTCACAGGGATAAACATGAATCCACGTTAGTTTCAAATGTAGCTCTGGCTTCAAGGATAGTCAGGGTATGTGGGGCCACGCTGCACCCTGTGCGTGTGGCCTCTGTACTGCATTCCCCCGCTTGTTTGCCCTCGTTGCAGCGGGATCGAACGCACCTGGTTTCGTTCCTTGGGCTGCTGATAAGGTGCGACTCCTAGAGGCTGAGGTTCGTGACGAGCTGCAGCGTCGCGGGGCACCAGCCAGCCTCTTCCAGGGAGGTGTGCCAGCACCAGCTGCGGGGGAACCTTCAGCGGGTGGAAAAAGGGAGGGCGAGGGTACTGCCACTGCCCCGCCTCCCAGTGAGCCAGCCACCGCAGCGGAAAGCCTCCTACAGACCACCGCCAAGGGAAGGCCAGTTGAGCCTCCCAAAACCTTGCAACCTCCTGCGCCTGCCCCAGAAGCCGCAGTCAGAGCCACCAAGCCCAAAGGAGAAGCCCACCGAGGAGCATCAAGAGCCGCCACCTGCTGAGCCTGCCTCATCTGCCCGAGGACCAAGCAGAAGCAGGCGCAGTCACAGGTCCAAGCCGAGAGACCATCACAAAACCAAGCGCCGCAGCAGGAGCAGGCGAGACCGGAGCCACCGGCGCAGCAGGAGATCCGAGAAAAGCCGTAGGGGAAGGCACCGCTCTCCCAATTTGGATCGAGAAGGACACCGGGATCGAAGAGAAAGAAAGCAGCGACCTCCTGAGCCAGAGCACCCACCCCCGCACTACCAGGGTGGAGGTGGTGAGAGGCCGCCTGAACCAGCTCGGCCCTTTACCAGTGACCACACACCCTAGGTGGACCTGTGGGACAAACAAAGGATTGGTGCGCCGAGCAATGCAACAGCGGTTCAACGATAGAAAGAGGAGACGATAGGGGAGGATGCCTCCCAAAAGAAGGGCCCCAATGAGGAGGCCTGCCGGGCAAGCCGCGGTCCTGAGGCGGCCTGCTAGGCGGGGAGAAGACGCCGAGGAGGAAGCTGAGGAGCCAAAAGAGAAGGCCTTGTCGAGCTTGACACTGCAGCAGCTCAAGCAGTTGAAAACTATCTGCCTTGGGGACGCTCGCTATTATGGCAGGTTGGTGCAAGTGGCCGGAAGAGTTGCCGGGACCCGCATGGAGGATGATGAGCTCTTTGCGATGCTGGAAGCGACTGGGACCAAAGATGATGAGCTCCTACGGGTGCTGAGTGGGGTGCGAGACAAGAAGCTGTCTGTGCACATCTGCACTGATGGATGTGCAGGCACTTTGACAGATCCACTCTTGGTCCATGGTCGCAGCTTTGAAGAGGTCAACTTAAACCGCTTGCCTTGGCTTACGAACCTTGAGGAGGCCAGGCCCGCTCAAGAAGAACCAGGAGTTGATGAGCTGGCTAAACTTCGTGAGCTGCATGCAAAGGCTCGGGGAGATGACAGGCGCGCTGAAAAGAAGCCTTCTAAAAAGGAGAAGAAGAGGAAGAGAGCAGAGGAGAAAAAGGTTGAAGAGGGGAGGGTTGATGGACCTCCCAAGGCGCCCCAAGGAGGACTAGAAGTGGGGCAGAAGGCGCTGGAGGATGTTTTCGGGTCGACAGGACTTGACCCCAACCCTGACCGCCGCAAGAAAGTCTTGAAGAAGGCGAAAAGGTTGGGCAAAGGGAAGAAGAAGAGGAAGAAGAAAAGTTCTTCCAGCTCTGAGGTCACCTCATCATCCTCGACTTCTACGTCAAGCAGTTCAGGTGGCGATGATGACTCTGGCCTTTTCGGAGAGAACACAAAGCTTCACCGCATCTGGAAGAAGTGCCCGGGAGCACTTACTGCAGCTGCTATAAGGGAGGCAAGACAGGGGTTAATGAGTCAGACTGGGACCTTGTGGAACATTAACCAATCAGAGTTGCCTCCCATTTTTACGCAATTCTTCCGACAGCAGGTGATCCAGCCCCATGGAGTATCCCCGGCATTGGTGCAGGAGATTCTCACCCTTTCACAGGTGCTGGACTACCTCCTTCAGGGGAAGATTGCAGGGTCAGCTGACATGGTTTGTCAGCGTTTGAAATCTTTAGAGGCCCTGGCAAAGGGATCCCATTGGGCGACAGGGAGACAACTCGAATTGGTGCGCAGTGATCCCTACTCCATCGCCGAGGGCAACGAAGCCTTAGGAGCTGCGAAAAGAGCCAGGGAAGAAGAGCGCCTGAAAGGATTGCTGAGCAGGGCGCCGACAAGCAAAGGTAGTGATGGTGGCTTCGGAGGAAAGAACCGCAAAGGGAAAGCTGCTGGGAAAGGTAAGCCTGATGAGGGAGGAAAGTCGAAAGGAAGAGATGCCAGAGGAAAGGATGATGGCAAGAATGCCAGTCGAAAATAGCAAGAAGGGAGGTGAGGCAACCCTCCCAGAGGCGAACTTTCCCAGTAGCAAGCGTAAGGCTGAGGATGGCTTGGATGAGGCTGATATGGTGGGCTCGTGTGGCATTGGAGTGGCAGATGAAACTGGTGGCATTCAAGGTGGTAGAGAAGAATCGAAGTGGCATGCAGTGGCAAATTGTATCACCAGCGAAGACGTTGAGGATCTACTTTTATGTGCCCAACGAGACGCTGAATTAATGCAAGGGAGTGAAGCCCATGAAACCTTCGGCGACTCCCAATCATCAACTTTGAATTCATTGATGGAGCAACAGGGGAGGAGGATTCCCGATGTGGCCTTCTCCCAAGCACAGAGGGGCAGAGTCCGGCAGATGGTAGATGATTTTTTGACAGCGCATTCTAAGGGGTGCGCTCTTCGAGACTTGGGTGGCTTGCTGTGGGATGTCCTGAATGAACTTGAGGATCAAGGTTGTTGCAGACCCAGGCCCACGGCAGGTGGAAAGTCTATCTTTCCGCTTCCTGTCTCAGGACATCCCATGGTGACGCGGCCTGGATCTGAATCCCTGAGACTTTTGGCTGCCTGCCTCAACAGCATGCATGGTGTGCCTAGCTCCAGTCGAGGCCGACCGTCCTCTTTACGGGTGATGAAAAGGCTTCAGGG